ATCGAGAGGGGAACCGCCGCAGGAAAAGCGCCTCGAGGAGGCCCGGCCCGGACCCGACCGAGAGCGATATCGAAGGAGGCGGCGGTAGGGTCCCGTCGAGGAGGTCGAGGAGCCCGAGGGAGATCGAGGCGCAGGATTGGGGAAATCGTTGGGGGGAACCTGATGCGGGAAGCGTTGGGAGAGTTGACATTTTTTTTGGGGGGGGGGGGCGTAACAAGTGATGTAGTAGTGAAATTGAAAAAAAAAAAAAAAAAAAAAAAAAGGCGGGTGGATGTGGTAAGGGTGGAATAAAAGAGAAAAAAGAGGTTTGGGTTCTTTATTGAAGGGATGAAAAAGTTTCAAAGTGGTAAATTTTCCAACTTTTTAATTATGAATGAATTTTTTTTTTGGTCTCTTATTCTTCTGCGTTGAAATTTCTTTGTATAGTGGTGAGAGTTTAAGAGTAATCACGTCGAGCGAGGTATCGATTTCTTTTATACTCAGTGTTCGTTGAATGAGTAGGTTGAAAAATTTATGGCATGAAAGTCAAAGTTCAAAAAGTCTTGGCACACTCAGTTGCCCCCTGATTATGTAACGTTAAGTAAGTAGTTGATGAGCGACACCGAGAGTCAAGAGGTACAAGTTCAAAGGATACATTGTGCCCATCTCGCAGAGTGAGTAGGTAGGTAGATAGCGGAAGAAAAAATAATATCTATTCTAAACTAGAAAAGAAACTTCGACGGATAAATTATCTGAGGATATAGAAAATATGGATGTATATGTAAAGATAAATAATAAGAAATAAAAATAAAAATAAGAAAAAGGAATTTTTGTTTCATCAGTCATCAAAGTTTGGTGACCTGCGGCGCAAACAGGTCGGATATCAAGTAGCCCTTCAAAACATAATAACATGTCGCTTCTCACCCTCCCCCCCCCCCCCTTCACCCCCACCTTTTCTTTTCTGCCAATACAACATTCGAACTTGGCAAACAGAGAAATAACTCTCTAAGCCAAGAGCAAAAAAGAACAAACCTACCATATACGCGGGGGAGGGGTGGGGAACAAAATATCATCCAATCATGGACGAATGTCCCCCGCCTCCTTCCTCCTTCTTGAGCAGCCTCTTCCGATTGTACAAGTCGGTATTCAGCACGTTGGTGAACCCCTTGGCCTTGAGCTCGTCCTGGATCTTGCTGACCAGCCACCCCTCCCTCAACCACCGATCGACCTCTGCCGACATGTAAGGCGGCAGCTTCCTCGCCCTGGGGTCGCTCGTGTCGTCCGAGGGCCCGTGGTTGTGCACCTTGTGCTCCTCGTTGGGGTAGTGGAGCATCCAGACGTCCGAGTCCTTGGCCGTCTCGATCACCTCAAACTTGAACAGGCACCCGCACTTCTTGCTCGTGCGGTCCGTCGTGGGCTTCCGACGCCCCTCGAGCTTGGCCTTCTCAAAGACGGACTGGTCGACGGGCGCCCGGTGGTGGCGCGCCTCGCCCCCGCGGAAGCACACCCAGCGGACCTTGCGCTTGCCAGTAACTTTTGCTCCGGCTATGCGCATGCTGTACCCGCGGGGGATGGTCCACTGGTCGAGCTCCTCTTGCATGCTCGCGCGGGACGAGATGGTGTACCCCTGCGGAGGCGGCTCGAGGGGGATGGGACGGGCGATGGGCACGCTGCCTCCCATCACCTGGGCCGGGGACGGCGGGGGGACATTGTTGAGGAGGTTGGAAGCATTATTATTATTGTTGTTGCTGTTATTGCTATTATTACTGGGTGCCGTGTTGTTGTGGGTAACGATCGGTTGCTGCTGCGGTTGGGGATGGTGCTGAATTTGTTGCGGTGGAGGTAGTGGTGGTGGTGGTTGTGGTTGCTGTTGCTGCTGCTGTTGCTGTTGTTGTTGTTGCTGCTGTTGCTGTTGCGCTTGGTGCTGGTGCTGATGCTGATGCTGGTGCTGGTGCTGGTGCGCTACGGGAGGAGGCGGGGCAGACGCATGGGCATGGGCATGGGCAGCTGCTAGAGCGGGCGATCCCGCGCTCGGTCCTACGGCGCCGCCGGTGACTCGGCCAGCAACGGTGGCGGCGGGGTTTATGGAAGATGGCGCGACGGGCTGCTGAGGGTGCTGCTGCTGCTGCTGGTTGATGAAGCCGGTGGGGATTTTGAGATGGGCCTCGATGCGCCCCAGGCGACGGTCGATTGCGTTGAGGGCGTTGAGCAGGGTCGCGAACTGGTTGGGACCGGGAGGCACTTGGCTCAGGTCGGCCATGGCAAAGCGAACGCGGGGGGAGGGGACGCCCAGCGGAGCGGTTTGCGCGCACTGTGTGCTGCTACTTGACCGGCTGGTAAATTTAGCTGTGGGCTGCGGACTGTGGGTTCGCGGGGTGTCCTGTGCGCGGCGGGCGCGCGAGCGAGTGTGCGAATTCAGTTGACCTCCGGGGAAAATCGAGGTTTGTTGTTCGTTGTCGCCGGCGCAACAGCCAAATAAATCGGGCAGACAACTTTCAGGCAAGGCAAATTAGTCACCACGGGCGGGCTGTGTGGTCGGGTGCAAGACCTTGAAAAAATACGGTCGCATTCTGGGATTGCTCTTCGCCCCAACGCGCTTTCTTGGAAAAGGCTGAGCGACGAGATTCCCGTCACGTGTTCTGCACGAATGCACAAAGGGCCGAGCCAAAGCGCTGCGGGAAAACACTGGTGGTGGTGGTGGGGATGCGCCCGACTGCGGGGTTCTTCGCAGCCCGAAAATGAAATTTGCGCTTTGCAGTTACACAGCAATTACAGAATTACAGCCATTCACACCCGACCGCTTGCAATGATGCCAATCCAGCTCGTCTCCCACGGCTTTCCCCCGTACTTGCTTTCCAGATGCTTCTTGAGCAACCCGTGCACCTCGTCCCGAGGATGCTCGCTGCGCAGCTCCGCAGACCAGCAGCTGTTCATGATCCAGTCGATCATCATGGAGAAGTGCGACATGAAGTGCTCAGCGTCGTCGGCTCGGGTGAGGTGCGCAAAGACGTTCACCTTGACATCCTGAATCCCTTTCGCCTCGAGGGTTCTCCTGACCCAGTTGACATCGTGCCACCTGCCCCACGGTGTCGCTTGCACGCCCACGGTGCAGGGAGCTTCGAACGGAAACGTCGCGAAAGCTTCTTTCACTTCGTCGGCCCAGCCCGGTTCCTTGTGCCAAGTGGTGAACCCAAGGAGACCTCCCGGCTTGAGGATACGGATAGTCTCTGTATCAATAATCAGCATATGCAGTTCCTGCCGTCTGCTCCAAAGAAGACAATTTAATTACCGTCCAGGGCTGCTTCCGAATCCGGAATGACATGGTACCCAAAGCTGGTGACAACGTGGGTAAACTGTCCGTCAGCAAGACCGGTCTTTTGTCCATCGATCCTCTTGGCCTCGGTGTTGATCCATCCCTCGTTGTCGATTCTTTTCTTTACCAGGCCAACTGACGGCTCAGAAAAATCTCCGCAGAGGATGCTGCTTTGCTTCAGCACATCCGGTTTGATCGTCTGCTGAAGCGCCGGAGCAACAACGCCAGGGCCACAGGCGTTCTCAAATAGCGTGAAGGGCGCAGCTGTGTCCTCGCCGAGCCCCATCTGGTTCAGCATCTGCAGTGCGAATGGCGTGCTGACTCTTCGAGCATTGTCGATGAGCATGTCCTCCCACGACTTGTTAGTGGCAGCCGTCTTGTCGACATTTTCGAAGAGCTTGCCGAGCTCAGTTCCGAGGGCGGTGTTTTTGTTCATTGTGCGAATAGTATGGGGCAGTCAATGTGTCAAGTTGTGGGTGACGAGGAGGTCATCCCAACATCTGCTGGATATCTGGTCCCTGCCTTGGTTTTATACCACCTTGCATCATCTACGGATGTCGCCGAAAAGTGTCCGCGACGTTCTCCCACCTAATCAAAGGGTCCAATATACATAATCTCCCGCATTATGGTGACATGCTAAAACCGCGGCAATGTATCCGTACGGTAGCTTTGGTACCATTCACTATTTTTATTTGGAAATTCTTGCTTCAACAATACCCGTTGCATATCCAGTCAAAGAGAAAACGCATTATGAAATATTATCAGTCAAGATAAATACGCCTTTGATAATTGTACAAGGCCTAATCAATTAATTTTCTCTATTTGGAGTAATTGTCTCCGAGAAGTATCCGCATCCAATGGTGGCAGCTCACTTGCTCCATGGAGGATGTTATGCAACTGCCAATTTCTGCGCATTATTTCCCTACGTAACGAAAACGTTTTCACAGAGTCGTCCTCTTCGTTATACGCAGAGACTTTCTTTAGGTAGGTATTAATGAAGCCACACTCGTCACATTGAGAGTTCCCATTACCTCAATTAACGCTGGGATGATACATAAACCTCCGTTCAAGCTGGCAAATAACAGATTAGTGCTCCTTTTGTTCGCTCAAGCCAAAGGCTGGTCAGAACGCATCGACCATCCGGCGCTGTTTTCGGAACCTGAGAATTAATATATGGAACTCCCGTCTCGAATAATCAAATGCGGGCGTTTTTAGCCACTCGCGTAAGTCGTGTCTTCATCAGCAGTTGTCAGAAAGATCAAGGGCGTTCCTATAATATAATACAAGTACCTTACCTCTCCGAACCAGTTTTAGTTTAAGCGGGCATTCCCAAGTACCTACATATATTTTTTCTGAGATATGGCCTATCCGCGGTAGCCCTTCCTTGAAATTTGGGCTCAATGAGTAGTGTGGTAATCATTCCAGGCTGTCTTGCCAGTACATCTGAAGCATCATTCAACAGATGGTTAGGGATATTAGTATTGGCACTGTACACGTGGAAGTTTTGAGCTAACAGCCGCCCATCGTCATAGTCCGCTAGATAAATCTCCCCGTCACCACCAGGCTCTAGCACCACATGTCCCCACCACAACCAAGCATATCTCAAGCCGCACAACCACATTTTTCTCCCTAGGTAAACAAGATAAGCAGAACATGCAGGATATAGTCTCCGTTTCCCATCTAAGTCAATAACAAGATAAAATCCGTAGGCCCCGTAGCGTAGTGGTCAGCGCACCGAAAAGGGCCAGCGTTGTTTTCCTTAGCGAAGTTTGCTTTTCTGAACAACCTTACCAGCGGAGGCGTCAGTTCGAACCTGACCGGGGCCATGTGAATTCTTTTTGAAAATTATTCCCTTCTTTTTTTTGGCGTTCTGCCTTTATTTTATTTTTGCTCTTTTCCCCTCTAAAACCACCTAGGCACCTAGCGTTTTACTTCCCCGAACTACCTAAGACCTAAGGCAAGAATAAGGTACTGTATATTATCATGATAGTATATCCTCCCTCCAAAAAAATTATCACATATCTTTTCGTCAGGGAATTCTCCAAGCCGTTTAAAATCTTGGAAGCAGGTTGGCATCATGGGTGTTTCGGCAACCTGCGGGTCAAGTAACTGAGCAAGCGATAGAAAGCCTGCAAGTGTATTTATGTTTAATTTACATTCATGCTTCTTGTCACGACCTCATCCAATTAGTTGAGGAAAGAACAAGGGTTAAACAAATGATACTTGATCATACAGCTAAGCGTCTATTCCGCATAATTTCTGAATTCGCATCACGTAGTTCAACTCAATTCTGGCGTCACCGATCACTCCGATGTCGTCGCTATGGCCTTGACGACCTACTCGTTGACTGTGTAGCACAACACTACCCTCCACAGAGGAGAGAAACACATATACCGCAATAGCACATGGTAGGTAGCTTCGTCAGAAAGCGTTTGTGGCTGGGTGTCTGGCAGTATCGGAGAGAAAAAGAGATACTTCTTCGGATCGCTCCTAGATGAAGGCTTACAGGTCTCGGACCATAGTGATAATATTGTTTGAACACATGTCTACTTCAGGGCGGGCAACAAATCAATCAAATTGCCAATCCTTGGCAATTTGTTCAATTCAATTAGGTAAATTCCAGGTTAATATTAACTCAATTTTTGACCAAAATTGACTTGAAGAGATTGATAAAATTGCTCAAATGCTTATTTTTGAATTAGATACCTATTCTTTGAGCTGTATTTGTTATCAGGGTTAGGGTTCGGAGCCGAAATATATTATTGTTCCGGAGTTGGCAATTTTAACAATTCCATTTTTTTGAGTTTAATTTCATTTTCAGAATTGCAAGGCTTTGGCAATCAGGTCAATTCTGGCCTAAAATTGGATTGAATTGTTGCCCGCCTCTGGTCTCCTTCTCCTACTACATCTCTACTCACTTGGCACCCTGCTTGCGCACTCATTTTGTGATAATATAAACATCCCCCCCCCCCCCCCCAAGTGAAACTTGACTTAGACACCGGTTTATATTGCCAGAGGTGATAAAAACTGAGTTTTCAAATGAATCGTCTTTTCGCGTGATAACCTCACCCACTGCAGACGCGGAATCCACTCTTCGGAGGCAAACAGTCCATTCCAGCAATATTTTCCAATCGTCATGATGAAGCTTCTAAAGCTGAAAATGAAAACAAATATAAAAGAAAATAAACCCCTACCGCCCGCCCTTAAAAAAGGAAGACATTCAGACCATTACATAATATGTAGTACAGTTTTTTTCCTAGGTCCTCAGTGTGAGCTGCATCGACTACAGTAGGGTGGATAAAGGGGCACGACCCATTTCCATCCAGGGGAAGTTCAGTGTTACCACAGCAACCAGATTGAAACTGACGCAACATTGCGGGCAACTACTCATGCCTCACCCCCACTTCTTGATGGGTTCGCAAAACACTCACCCACTTTGGTGGGGGCGAGGCACGATACGGCATCGAAAGTGACACCACCCCTCAAAAGCAAAATTTTAGGCCTTTATGTATACACCACACAATTGCCCATATCCGCTAACAATACAAAGGCTTATACCCACAACTAACATTTCCATACATCCACCTACCTTTCTACACATAATTAAAAAATCAAGATATGCTATTTTAAGCCATTTTTAACTTGGTTTTACATTTTAATTTATTTTTAAAATGGTTTTGTTGTTGAATGGATGCATTGAAATGCAGTTGTCTTTACGGTTGATAGTAGCCAACTGGCCGGGGTGTTGACAGGGGTCTTTGCAAGGGTCTTTTGTATGGGAGAAAGCCTAAAAATTTTGATTTTGAGGGGTGGTGTCACTTTCGACACTATACACAAGTAAGCCGGTCACGTGCTGGTAAATCAACCGGCCAAAAAAAAAGTGAATGTGGAGCATGCACGGCCATTACCAGCCAATCACCGTTTCAACCACACCACACCGCCAAAAAAGTGGCAGATTGTTCCCGAACATTTCCAAATCGGGTAATTGAGACTGATATATGCATTTGCTGCCCGGAGGACCATAAAACCCCCCATTTTCTATCCCATTGAAAAACCATTAATTAATACTTGACCTTTCTAAATACGATCCGAACTTTTAAGATAATTATTCATTCTAGCGGAGTAATTTTATATATATCATCACTCATATTAGCTTTGTGTGGTGCAGCAGCTCACACACTTGCTCAGGTTTCGTTTGGCAATGACGGTGCCGCCCCCAGACATCTACACCACCAAAACCCACACCATCAACCGCTTCAGCTGGTGCGGTATCATTCGTCCGCCCTACGAAATCGATTATAGTTCATTACCCCGATCGCCACTTTCTTCCCATAACCGTTCACCTCAGTCCACCTTGTCTCCTCCTGATCCCATCTATGCTTCGCTCAACCGAGCGTCCCCCGCTACTTCAGTGGCACTTCCTGGTGCTTCTCCTTTGCTGAACAACCACGACAGACGAAGAAACAAGATCATCAAAAGGAAAAACAATAACCCACACCAGGACAACGGCATCAGCAGCAACGAGCGACATAACCTTGGCGAGGTCACTGCGCATAGCTCCTCAACAACATCCACACCAGAGCAGCCAACCGGCCTGCACATTTGCATCATTACTGGATGTCGATACAGCACCAACTCGGGAAGGGATCGCGAGAAGCACCTGGCGACGGTCCACTCCAAGGGGATATCTAGGTTCTCGTACACTTGCCCAAACCCAGGCTGCGGCAAGTTATTCGGGCGAAGTGACAACGGTCTTCGGCACACCAGGAATAATTGTGGCTTCAAACCTCTCCCAACCGCGACCTGATACTACGAACTGATACACTCCTGCCTGAACAAAAAAAAAACCCTCCATCACGTTGGAAATATTTCGATAAACTGGCGCACATACAATCTTTCCTCGCCTCGCTCATAATGGACTATGCAAGTTCTCTACGGCCACCCGCCAAGACCTCCACTTCTAAAACCTCTGAGTGCTGTCCGTCCCGCGCATCTATATAGCCATCCTGTTTCCAGCATTGACCCGATGGGCAGACAGCTGCGGACCGACAACGTGGTCCTCCCCGCTGATTCCCACGTCATGGACTATGTCAGGTATTTGAGACAGCCTGCCCAAAGATCATCGAAGCCGTGAGCTCCATGTCCGAGCCACGACGCTGCTTCCACGTTCAAACGGTGCAGTCATGGGTGGGTGTTTCTGACGCTCAGCCGGTTGAACCTGGCATGCTGCACATTGTGGTACGGGGGTTTGATACTCTCATGACAAACCACGGGTCCTGTTTCAATGGCCCGACTGGATGCCTAAAGAAGTTGGACTGGCAGAGCTCACGGCCTACCAGGTGGGTGGCAGTTGGAAATACTCACCTCGGCCACAGCCTCTGGAAAGAAAGCCCTGGCGAAGTGGCACAAGTATTAAATTTTTTTGTCGCCCACATGTACGTTACGGTTCATGTTCATGATGTAGGTTTGACGAGGTCGAATAGTTTTCCTTTTTCTGTCTTAGCTAGTCTTTTTCTTTTTCTTCTCTGTTCTTTTATTTTCTTTTTTTTTCTTTTTTTTTCTTTTTTTTTTCAAACGTGATCCAAGATATACTTGTTTTAATATTTGATACAGTTTGGCAGGTTACTAGCATGATTTATATGCACGGCCTGGTGGTAGACCGTTTTCTCGGAAGTTTTTTTTTTTTTAATAAGTACTATAACGGGAAAATATGTGATTCAAAAAGGCTTAGTCATTAGGTGGTGATCCCTGGGGTGCATCTGGCCAGTGGTGCTGGTCAGGCCAGCGTTATTCGTGGACAATTGAATTTGAATTTTAACAATGCAGTCCGACATTTGGTTACACAATCCACTCCGTATCTACGGCAAAAACAGTGACAACACCCCTCAAAATCAAAAAATTTTAGACATTCTCCCAGATAGATAAAATACCCCTGCAAAGACCCCTGGATCACTCCTGCAAGTGGAGCTTGGCTGCATTTCAGCCCCGAGGAACCAGCATCCCACAAAGTAAGGGCGGACATTTGTTCCTGATTCCTGGAAATTAAGAGGGTTATCAGATAGGACTCACCGAGAGTCTTTTGAAAGAAGAGGATGCCCCGACCCCGATTTGTCCCCCCCGGCCTGCCCACGAAAATAGCGACCGTCCCCAAAACCATAAAACCAACCATAGGGATTAATCGATCGTGGCATCGTCATTGAAAGCAATTTGTCTTAACTCAATTTTGATACCCGTAACACGAGGTATCTAGCGGTTACTTTTTTGCCTTTTAAAATTTGGTTTAAGGGTGGGTGTTGTTGATTTATGTGTAAATCTGATAGAGCTACCTACTTTCTTTTTTTTTTTTTCTTTTTTCGTACATGAAACGCCTCATGGGACCTTGTTTTTCTGACTCGCTTCCATACTCGGGCCATGAGTCTTCCTCATCGGACTGACGAGCTTGGCCGATGGCTTCAGGTCTCTGCGAGTCTGTTTAAAATGAGACTCTCGCTGTGCATTGGCACCTTGGGGACTCGACATGAAGACTCGAGACTCAGGAGGCTTACGGAAATCAAGACTCGAAATGAAGACTCGAGACTCAGGAGGCTTACGGAAATCAAGACTCAACATGAAAGGTAAGAGCGGACTCAGGACTCAACCCTCTCAGAAACCCCCCCCCCCCCTTCCTTTTAATATTCACTAATGGACTTGAATGGACTCAAAGGCGGACCAGAAATGTATTTAACGATAACATCCTCCCAATCTCACCTCGCTTTTTTCTTAACTCAGCATCAAAAATACCATCATTTATCCAGCAATAAATCTCGGCACCAGTTCAAGTTCACTT